TATTTAGCAGGAACTAAGTATTGTACTTAATAGCCCTAAGTTGAAACCAGAAGCACACACACAGAAAAGTGAATCTCAACAACCACCTCTCCAAAAAAACCAACCTTCTAGAAATTAAAGGAAAGAAATGTGGGGGGACTACTGGGGGAAAGGATGGGGGAAAGGTAACCAAACAAGAAGGAAGACCTCCCAGCCCTAACAGCAACAAAGCTCCACAAAAATAACTGTAAGCCTCAAAAAAACCAGAAGTAGTAAAACCAGAATAAACCCAAAGGTAACCAAAAAGGGTCTACTTGGATTCATACCCACACACATACAACTACCAGGCCCAAACCACAAGTAACATGATAAAACTCCAAAGCCCACCAAAGTCCAAACTACAAAGTGTAAACTACAAACCAGAGATATACAACCTAACCAAAGAGAACCAGAAAAAGGCCTGAGCTGAGGCCCTAGGCCAGGCAGGCGTCACCCCATCACCTCACAACTCACAGTACAAGCCCTAAGAAGAGCTAACAGTAAAATTAGAAAACATTTTAAAAAAATTTTGTTAAAAGAAGTCAAACCAGTCTCTATCTTCAGTCTTCTCCAGGGAGGAAGGAAGGAATGGATCTGATCCAAAGTCTACAGTCCTTCATGCAGCAGAGAGAGTCAGGCTCAGAGCAGCAGTTGAAGCAAAAGCCAGCCACCCAATCTCCAAACCAATCTCTCAGCAATGGAGTCTAGCTCAGCCAGACCCTTCCTTTTGTGCTCTCTGCCCATGTACAAAATAATAATTTCAAAAAAGAACAAACTTCTGTGATTGACTGCAGAGCAGTGTTTCCCCCTTACCTGAAATCCTATTGGTCAAATAGCCACTGCTTCTTCCCTCCTCCCTCCTATTCCCTGGGAAATGGGTGGGAAAAGCAAGGTAGTTAGCTAGAGAGTTCAGTAGACTTCACACTTGAAGCCTACAACAACTTTGCAAAGTTGCAAGCCTGCAGTGCTATGTCATTTGCAAATGCATTGCAGTGATTGGCTCTAAGCTCCACCTAAGAGGCTTTTGCCATTGGCCTGCAGAGATCCCTCTTCCCCCTCCCTCCTTTTGCCCTGGAAACCAGAACAAATGGTTGGAAAGAGCCAGAAACAGAAGATAAGTGTACACCTTTAAACCTCTTCAGAGCCACTATTTGGTATTGCCGGAAAAAGCTGAATAAAAACCAAATAATTTCAGCTTTTTTCAGTATCAATCATACCAGTAGCCAAAAAGATTCTCCAATTTGAATTCAGCTTAAAAATACTCAGAAAATACTTGTAAGGTATTTTTGGGGTTTTTTTCAGCTTGGATAAACTGAATGCACACCCCTAGTCACACAAGCAACTTTATCAATCTACAGCATACTTCTTACAACTGTTAAGAAAAAAAGGCAAGTTAAAATGTTAGAGAAATTGTTCCCAACTGCATATCATTGTTGCAAGGAAGTGCCTAAATGCATTCATGTACACGTGAGTGCAAAGAATTTTTGCCCCAGAATACAACAGCACATTCTTGAGATTAAAAAATCATCTTGTCAGAATGCAGAATGATCCCTTCCATGTCCTCTCAAAATATACCTCTTGGTTTTGGTTATGATTTAACCACAAAAGTCTCCAATGACACATTAAAGTCAAAGAGTTGGATCCTATGACCCTCTTCCCCTAAGTCTTTTTTCAAGAGAGAAACACTGTCTCTAATGTAGAATGACTTTTTCTGATGAAGAAAAATCTTTCTTTGAAGAAAGTTGGGACAAAGGGGGACATAGGATTAAACCCTAACAAATTTTATTCCAGCATAAATGGTGAAGAAGATGTTAGAGCAGCAGAAGAATATTTATGGGGTTTGAACAGCTACTAACAATCCAGAGACAGATGACCTTGACACATAATGCTGGCTCCGAAGTTTATAGAGTGGTGGTCCATGTCTAAAATTGGATTGACAATATATCCAGACTAGGAGCAAGGCTCGTTGTAGGAACAATACAATGGGCCCTAGAAAGACGGGAGACCTCCCCGTAGCATTGGCGTGAGGGCCCAGCGTGGCGGTCAGGGCGCAGGTCACCTCCAAGGAGAATGAGGGCCGTCCCCCCGCTGCCGGCCCCCTGATGAGACCCCAGGCTCGATGGAACGCCAGCAGTGCACCGGGCCCTGTGTGAGCGCAGGCTGGGCGGCAAGGTGGATTGGGGCTGGACCAGCAGCGACGATGGGTGTGGCAGCGGGAGGGTTGGCCTCCGGTCCCCGTTCTCTCCCCCCCCCAGCCTTGAGGGCAGAGGTGCGATGGAATGGGCCACCACTACCTCCGTGCCCGGCAGAGTGGCGGTGTTCCTTGGGCCGCTGTCAGTGCGGGGGCCCCCAGCCAGCGGCAGGGCATCCAGCAGCCTCAAGGCAGCCTTGGCTGACAATGAAGGCTGAGGCACCGGGAGGATTGGCCTGGGTCTCGCCCGCGTCCTTGCCAAACTCCCCTTCACTAAGCATGGTGCATTCCTGCCACTGTGCCGGGGACAGGAGGGAGGTCCTGGCTTTCCCCCCACTGGCCAGGCCCACCCCTGCGAGTGTCCAGCCACCTCTCCGTCTTCGCCCGGCCCTGCAAATGGCGAGCCGCAATGACTCATGCCATTGTGGGCTCTCTGCCATTTCACTGTGTTCCCCCATTGTCTTGCGGTCGGCCTCCTCACCCTCTGGACGCTAGAAGGCCCATCTCGTCCCTTAGCTCCCAGCACAGTGAGGCCGAGACTCCACTCCCTTCCCCGGCTCCCTCCAGAGTGAGGGTGAAACGCTGCCCACCAGCTCGGTGGGCGGGGCGGGGCCCACACAGCAACCCAATGCAGCTATGGGATTGAGAGTCCATGAGAGTGGCAGCTGAGTGGGCCAAAGGCTGTGGGAGCATGTCCAGGAGTCACACCAAAACTCTTTTATATATAAGGAGAGATATGCCGTTCTCTAACATATGCAGCTGTAAATCAGAACCGTGTAGTTCTAATGAGAAATGTATATTATTCTTAGAGAAGATAAGCAGAAAATAAATGTAGGTCTCAACATGTTTGTTTGTGGAATCCACTTTCTGGTTTTATTCTTATGCTACTGTCAAAATGTTTCAGGCTTAGGTGTGGTCTTGAGGTTCCTGTTGGCCTCATTTTCTCACAGGATGGCTATGGTTAGCAGCATCAAAGTAAATGTCAGAAGGGGTGTTCAGAGGCATTTTCCTACTTGATGACGTACAGGGAATTTTAATGCAGCTTCACTAACTCAGTGAACTAGAGATGAATATGGCTGTGGTTATTCACTGGGAACTAGAGATTTATTTTATTTGATTTCTGTCCCGCCCTCCCCTGCAAGCAGGCTCAGGGTGGGTCACAAGAGAAATATAAACAATAAAGCCACATCATAAAACCATAAACAATTAAGAATCCAATTTTAAAACAGATGGCACAGGCCCATAGCCAGGATTTTGTAATTCGGTGGGCCTTTAAATTAGTCAAGGGGCACTGACATCACAAAATAAAAAATGAAATTTTAAAAACCTCACTTTTGCAGCATTTGCACACTGCCTGGGGAAGCAAGCCGCGCTTGGGGAAGCGGCAACGGTGGGGAGTCCTCCTGGCGACCTAGAAAGTCAGGAGTCCACTGGGCGACCCAGAAAGCTGGGGGGCAGGGGACTGGATGGAAGTCATGGGGCCTTGGCAGGAAGTCGGGGGGGGGGGCAGCCCCCAAAAGGCCCCACTGTAGCTACAGGCTTGAGATGGCAAGCCAGTAATAATTATAGAATCACAGAGTTGGAAGGGGCTATACAGGCCATCTAGTCCAACCCCCTGCTCAATGCAGGATCAGCCTAGAGCATCCCTGACAAGCGTTTGTCCAGCCACTGCTTAAAGAATCCAGTGGGGGAGCTCACCACCTCCCTAGTCAGCTGATTCCACCACTGTGCTACTTGAATTGAAGAGCAGGTGGGCAGAAACATAATAGTAGTCCAGTTACTATTGATGGAAACCATTGCCCTCTACACCATCAATCAAGTATGAAGGCAGTTTGGGCAGGAGGGGCCAGAATGAGCAGTCACCTGCCAATTAGCTGAAAGCCTGTTGGAACAGTTCTGTCTTACAGGCCCTGTGAAACTATAGTAAGTCCTGCAGGTCACTGATCTCAATTGGGAGCATGTTCCACCAGGCTGGGGCCAGAGCAGAGAAGGCTCTGGCCCTAGTCGAGGCCAGGCGGACGTCTTTTGGGCTGGGGACTGCCAGTAGATGTTGCTCTGCCAAGTGTAAAACTCTACAGGGCACGTATAGGGAGAGGCAGTCCTGCAGATATGTTGGTCCCTGGCTGCATAAGACTTTCAAGGTTAGCACCAACATCTTGAACCGGATCCGGTACTTAGTTGGTAGCCAGCGCAACTGGCATAGCACTGGCTGAATGCGCGCCCACACAGACATTGCAGTGAGAAGGTGCATCAGTGCATTGTGCCCTAGCTGGATTTTCTGAGTCAGATTCAAGGGCAACCCCACATAAAGTGAGTCACAGTAGTCTGACCTGGAAGTGATTACTGCATGGATCACTGTAACCAATGATGAGTATGGCAGTGGTTATCCACAAAACAAAGATACACATATGTTGTAATGTCACACACTGTGTATACAAATGACGAGTGTGAACTTTAACATGCGTGCATCTTCACTAAAGCCATACAAATATAAAATTCCTCTGATTCCCCTGTACAGGTCCAAATATTCCTGAGGGGCTCTCTGCAATAAAGATATGTCAAGCTGCCACTTTTTCCTCCCAAGATTGGATGGGCAGATACCCTAATTTCAGAGCTTGCATGTCATCTCCTCTCTCCAAAACCTAGAATGAGATGCTGAGGCTTATGTCAAGAAATCCATCTGCCCCATACTGTTGAAGCCTCTTCCAGTCTGCGAACCTCCAGTTGAACTATAATTTGATATTTTAAATTGCTTTTGTAACTTTTCAAATGAATGTCTCCGTATCCTCAGATTGAACCAAAGAATGGCCCACTAAATGGTGGGATTTTGTTGACCATAATGGGATCCAATTTGGGCATAAGAGCTGAAGATGTCACAAATATAACGGTGGCAGGAACTAACTGTAAATTTAAAGAAGAATTCTACTCTGTTTCTACCAAGTAAGTAATTGTCAGATGTTTTGAATGTCATAGAATTGAAAAAAGATGTAATTGTATTGCGGAAATATGAATTGCAGCAGTTAAAGAGGTTTTAAATGTATAATTTCCTTGGCATTTGTATATGGAAATAAGTTGTAATTCTTTTAATAAGGTTTTGTTGTAATTCCAGAATGCAATGCCATGTTTATCCTTAATTCCCTTCAGTATAACTGTGATTGAGCAAGAGACTTGTAATAACTACCTATCTTTATGATCCTATAGCTCCCACTTCAGTTTGCTTCTTGCTTTTATTCACATTCAGTGACTCCCTAATTTACTTTGAAATGAGATGCATTAGTAATAGTTATCGCATGCAGTTCACATTTTGTTCAGACCTACATTTCCAGATGGTGTCACTTCAGGAAAGTTGTAAATGTTGCATACTAAACATGTACAATCTTGCAAACATAGACAGAAAAACCTGCTGTACATGAAAACCTGTACGCAATTACTTCTATTAAGGATATTTTTATCATATTCCTTTTTCACTATAAGAGTGGAAAACTTTCAATTTTCCACAGCTAACATTATTATTAATGCATTCCCAAGTAATGAAAGCATGGTGCGGCTCAAGATTTAGAAATGTCTTTGCAAAATTAACTTACGCTTACCTTGAGTCATGTTGAAGTGAATGATAGAACTGTTTTTAATTGGCTGTGTGTAATGAAGATCTGGGATTCATCTTGTTCAATCAAGGTAATAGAAGCAGAGACACCAAGGGGCAATTTGTATGGCTCATTATGTTTTATTTGATGTTTCGTGCTTTCGAGGCTTCTTAAGATTGCACTTTCTCTCTACTAGACTATTATTTATTATTTATTTTTAAAGAATTAACATTAGGAAAGATGTACATTTAGATTTTGATATATAAAATTGCTTTGTATCCAACTAGGGTTGTATGTAAAGTTGGAGAGGTTCTAGAAGCAATGAAAGGTGAAATTGTAGTTGATGTAAGTGGACAGCAAGGCAGATCAACAAGTGAAGTGCAATTTACATATCAGGTGAGTATGTTTGTCAGTACCTTTTCTTACACAAGAAAAAGTGTCATATTTGCATTTCCCCTTGAGGAAATGCCTTTGTATTGTCCTTTATTCCTTTAGTTTATTGAGAAATATTTTGTTCAGATTACAGTGAAAAGCCTAAAGAATTCTCCCTAAATAGTCCTCCAAATATGATAATGCCGTTTACATTTTTAAAATATGATGCAGTAAAGAAAAAAAATCTATTGCAAATAAACATGGCTATAGCATTATTTTTTGAAAAATAAAATAAATCAGCTTTGAAACAGACTTTCATTTTGAAATAGCTCCTGATTGTCTCCTGAACCAGTAAATTGCAGAAATGAATTCAAAGCCACTGAGGAACATCTAATGACCCTACATGTCTTAATCTCATAATATTTTCAGTGGGTTGTTCCATTTCAGAATGGAAATAATCTGTGGCGCAGACAGTGTGCAATCACAATAGGCATACAATTACCCATGTTGTCACTATGGCAAAAGATTACCTTGATTGTGTCCTAATTTCTGTAATGCAGGTGTGATGCTTCAATTGCAGAAGCATATAATGCCTGCAAGACATAGCTCAGTGACCCCCGAAGCAAAAATGGATTCTCAGTTAACATAAAAAGTAAACTTTTTAAAGAATTTACCTGCTGCCTGCAGAACTAGAAAATAGAACTAGTAAGCTGTGTAGTGTTAGGGCTAGGCTGTTCTTTAGAGCATTGGTTTGCCTGCTGGTGTGATTTTAGCTTTCCTGCTAAGTAAAAGCACAAAGGAAATAGATATAGATCAGTCACAAGTTGGAAGAAGCTGGATAAATATATAATATCAGGTTAGAATGATAAAGCAAGGGAGATGCCAGGGCTGTGGATTCTGTCCATAGCAAAGGAACATAATTTTGCAGCACCATCAAGCTTTTTGTTGCAGAACCTTAGCTGACCACTCCCTTTCCTCCGCCCAAACCTGGCATCTCAACACAAGATTGTCTGCAGTCCATCACGCTCACTACATGAAAGAAACATCTTGCAAGAATGTTATTTTCCAGGATTGTTGGCCTAAATGATACCACTTCAGTTTTAACTCAAAAACCAAGAGTGTTGGTGGATGTCACTGGGGGGGGAATGTGCATTGTAAGAAGTAAAAGGCAGTATTGGCGTTAGGAGTTGGAAGCTTGGAGATCTACCAAGCTATGGATGGCTTCTGTTCCTCTGCTGATTAGTTTTTCTGTCAAAAAGAGGAAGATAAATGTATTCTGCTTTCCTGAGAATTAAAAGGAGTCTGTCCCCTTAGAGAATCTTCTGTGACTGGGCATGGGCTTAAACAATTTGAACTAAATTGCAAGCATATCATGCCCTAGCCTGTCTCGTTTGGTCTTTGGGAACAGGATTTGAAGCATGGCAAAACCCAGTCAAACTGCTGCTGAAAGCCTCAGATGGTTTATTTTTATTGGTTAAAGGGAAATGAAATATAGCTTCTTTCTTTGAAACTGTTTTGCATACCAAATAAACAGTATTGGCAAGTAGTACTGAATTTATCTACCAAGATTATCTTTTGTTGATATGATGCCTTTGTCTCTGGGGTCCCCACTGGGCATTGTTTTTGTGTAATTTATCTACCAAAAGCTTCATTCCTTTTATTAGAGAACAGATTTTATTTTAAATTTCTTATTGTTACATAGCTTTTTCTGCAAATGAAGTTAAATGAGCCCCTAAAATGCTCTCTTTAAAAAAAAAAATGGACAAAGAGATCCAAGGCCTTCATATAACAGGAGATGAGTAAGCATGTCCACCAATCCTTTTGGGACCAGTAAAATTTTACAATTCTTGAAATAATAATGAATTTTAATTACTTCATTATATCAGCCTCCTTCAAACCGTTGCTTATTGGTTTTGGACCCCTCTCTTCACTTGTTCAGATATGTAAAAAATTTTAGACAGACGCTGTAGTTTTCTTTTTAAATTTTAATCATAGCAAACCTAAGGAATTAGGGTAGCTAGGTTAATCTCAGTCCCTCAGCCATTCCACCGGTTATAGTGATATTGCTTATGCCAAAAAAACTAGAGTCAAAACATTCCCTTAAATTCTCAATGACCAGCCATTATACACCTGTTGGAATACTGAGACCTGCAAAATGATGTATCAAAACGCAAACCAGCTCCCCATTGTTAGTGACTTACATTGTCTGAGAATACAGAGAAAACTGTCTCTCATACATGAGTTTATCAGAATAGCTTTTACCTAAAACATGAGTCAATAGTTAAAGCTAAAATAGACTTTAAAGCTTTGAACATTCCTAAAGCTCACTCTTAGAAAAGTCCCAATGGAAAAAGGATACAACATATAACCAGGATTTCTATACCTGTTGGCTGGATATTTCAACTCAAAAATTACAAAACATTGGGAGATCCATGGCCGGGGTTCTGTCAATGTTTTAAAATTGTTAAGAGAAGGCACTGCCAAGATCCACTTGGAATTGTGGCTACGCTTGTGGGGTGGCCAGTTTCTTTCCTCACATACTGTGGTAAGCCCTTAATATTTTAAAAAAATACCATCTTAGCTTTCCTCCCTCCCTCTCTCTCTCTCTCTCTCTCTCTCTCTCTCTCTCTCTCTCTCTCTCCCTTTTTACTTGAAGTCTAATAGCCTAGAGGGGAAAACCTGTCTTCCACCCCTTGATAGGAGAGACCCCTGTGTGGCCTCAATTCCATTCCACATATACACACATGCAGCTTCTGTTGCAATTTTTAATATGCTGAAAGTATCCTGTCATGGATCCAGTTTGGTGTAGTGGACTCTAATCTGGAGAACTTGGTTTGATTCCCCCACTCCTCCACATAAAGCCAGCTGGGTTACCTTGGGTCAGTCACAGTTCTCTCAGAGCTCTTTCAGCCTCACCTCCCTCACAGGGTGTCTGTTGTGCAGAGAGGAAGGGAAGGAGATTGTAAGCCACCCTGAGACTCCTTCGGGTAGTGAAGGATGGGGTATAAAACCAACTCTTTTTTATTTATTTATAACTAGGAATAAAGCTCGCTGTGGAAATAAATACAACGAGCTCTAGAAAGAGGCTCTGGGAGAGTGCCCCAGCCTTGGGCACTCAGCGTCAATTTGCTGTGGTGACCTCAGCAGGGTATAGTGACACAGAGTCCACCATTTTCTCCAGGGGAACTGATTTCTGCCATCTAAAGAGCAGTTGTAATTCTGCGTGATCTCCATCCCTCCCCTGGAGATTGGCAACAATGGTTCCCCATGAGGGAATGGCTGGCTTGGAGGGTGGAGTCTATGGCATTGTACCTGTCTGAGGTCCCACCCCTCCTCAAACCTCACCCTCTCCAGGCTCCATCCCTCAAATCTCCAGGAATTTTCCACCTGGAGTTGGCAACCCTATCAGGACTGGCTCCAATGAGTTTTATCCCAAAGGCCAAAATAGATGTGGAAAGGGCCTTTTACCAACAGAACCTGGTTGCCTGGTAACAGGCACTGAGGAGAAAGTACAGTTGACGGCTCTGATTAGGGAGATACCTGGAGATTTGGGGGGTGGATCCTGTGGAGGGTAGCATTGGGGGGGTGGAAGCAGGGGATAATGCCATAGCCTCCAAAGCAGCCATTTTCTCCAGGGGAACTGATCTCTGTCATCTGGAGATCAATTGTAACAGCAGGAAATCTCCAGGTCCCACCTGGAGACTGTCAACCCTAGGGGAAAGTCAGCCACACAGCAGGGGGTTGAAGAGAATGGTGTAATGGTCGCTGGCCCACCTCATTAGCCAGCCAGCCATGGTGGAGGCAAAAAGGAGAAAGAGCCATTTTAAGTTTATTCTGAAAGGAAAGTGGCAAAGTTGGCAGTGGGCAGGGGAGGGGGTTATGCTGAAAGTCCTTTGTTTTTTTACTGACAGAAGTTGGTTGCCTACCAACAGCCACTGGGGGGGACAGTTAGTCACAGTTAGTCCCACACAGGAGCCAAGAGAAGTGTCTTCCTCAGGAAAGAGTCCAGCTTTCCAGGAGCCGCAGCTCGTTTCCTCTAGGCCAGCCCCTCCCTGGTGCTGCCGCCGCTGCTTAAGCAAGGTGGGGGAGCCTTTGAAAGGCGCTAGGCAGCCTTCTCTGCAGGCCACTGAGCTATCGTCCTGACGAAGCGTCGGCCTTGTGGCCAAGGGAGAGGAGCTGCAAGAGGCAGCCAAGGTGAGTGCTTCCCCTGCTTGCTGCCGCTCACTAGGTCTGCCTCCTTCTCCCCTGTGGAGGGGTTGCTGCTCCCTCGGCAGAGCGTCCATCCCCTTCGCCAGCTCCCTCCAGACTGAGAGCAAGACGCTGGCTGCCTTCTCTGGGGGCAGGTCCAAGCCAACGCAATCAAAGTTTTTACATTTATATCACATACATATAAGTATTTTGTTAATTTATAACTGCAGTTTAGTTCACCTGGTTTGACCCACAGCATTAACTAACTGAACAAACGCTTGTATGCTGTTGACACCAGGGGTAAAGCTATTTAATGTTTAGAGAACATTCTGCATAATCTGATGTTGCTGTGATGATAATATAAGGCATAACTTGAGTTTTCATACTAAGAATAGCTAGTTCAGAATGAGGGTACATCCTCACTGCTTCACGAAACAGGTTTACACTGCAATCCTAAACAGACTTACTGCATTCTAAGACCATTGCTTTTAATGTGTTTAGGATGGAGTGAATCTGCCCAAGATTCCTCTGTTAAAATCTCACATGCAATCCTATTGTGCACAGTTTCATTCTGAAAAGTGCCTTTCATTAAATTGATAGCACTAAAAGGGTTTATGTCTTGCTTTATTGGCCCATTAAGGAAAACATTAGGTGTGCTGAGGCAGCTTTCTTGAGCACCGGATGATTATATTAAAAGAACAAGAAACTCTGTGTGTGCGCACCCTTTTATGTCACAAAAAGGTGTCTTCAAAATTAAAAATCATGTGCATAACTGAAGAGTGCTGTTACTGTGCACCAAGGTTGTCAGCATAGACAATTAAAATATACAAGAGAAG